GGGGAAGGAGAGGGACAGGAAGAGCATGGCGTACATTGGGGCAGGGTGGGGATAAGGGACGAGGTGTGGCCCAAGGCCTGATCTGGCCACGCAGGGAAGGATGTGGCCCTGCTTCAATTTGGCAGCTCAGGGCTTGGGAATTTGGCAGCAAGGAAGGGTGGCAGTATTATTTGTCACTACTCCGCCACCACCAAATTTCCCAACTTGCGGGCCTGGATGCCATGGATCTGCAGGCTGCATTTGGCCTGTGGACTGGAGGTGAGCACCCGTGATGTAGATGGTTTAGTTTCTCTTTATCCTGTCTATATTTGGATGGTTTTATTGGTGTGGTTATGTAGGTAAAACTAACTAGTAAAATGATGTAACTGTATCTATAGTACAGTTTATATTGGCATCACTGTCTCTATAAAAAAAAATAAATTAGCAGTTGTACGGATATAATTTATTAGTCTACATGAGATCTAAATCTACCTTATTCACATTTTCTTGACTACTGCAACTTACACTCCTTTAAGAATGTCTTATTTTAAAATATCATTCCATCCAAAATGTTAGGGTTTATGCCACTCACCCTAATGTGGAGCAGGCTGCCCAAAATTTCAGAAATCTCCAGGCTTCATTTTTATATCCACTTTGGAACATACAGCAAAATGTACTCCCTGGTCTTCAAAATCCTCTGTAGAATTCATCTTCATTGAATTATGCTGGAGTAGGTATGTCAGGTGGGAAGGTGGTAGTAGTTATGATGATTGTAGTTATGCCTTCATTTTTCCCTCAGGACAATCTGTATAGGTTTTCCACACAATATACAGTTGAACATTTCAATTTAATTTTTTTCCAGACATCTCCGAGAACTGCAGTTGGAGAAAGTACAGTTAGAACTACAAAACAAGGAGATGGAAAAGAAATTACAGTTACTACAAGCAAACATGAGCAGAGAAAAAGAAGAAAGGGAGTGGGTGAAATTTCTGTACAATTTGATTATAATATAAAGTAATCCCAATTCAATTTTTTCTGTTGGAGATTTTTTGTTGGTAACTTATCTTCTCTTTTTCTACTTTCTTTGCCTTGTTTTTTTTGTCTCCTTTTCCCCCTTTCCCTCCCAAAGCCAGTATTCTCATAAGCTTGTTTGTTTTTTGACAGTCCTTCCTGTGAATAGGTGACATCAGAGGTAATCAACCAACATCCCTTTTTCTCTTGTTATTGTCCCCAGTGAGAATATTTAATGAGAAGTAGCCACTTATTGTCCCCAGTGAGAATATTTAATGAGAATTAGCCTGAGTTCTTATTTTTCCTTCATTCTGTCTTCTTTATTTCTTCTCAGTAGGATTGTAACGTCAGAATTAAATCAGTCACTTGGCACATTGTTCTTTCGTTTCACTGCATTCAGCACACTGCCTTTCACTTTGCCATTGTTGGAATTGTTTCTAGCAATTGTTGGAATTGTTGCTATTGTCTCTACAGATGTAGCTACCTCAATAGAGCTTTAATCCTATATCAGTTAAATGTATGCACATAAATTTACGAAAAGATCACAACGTTATAATAGTTTTGTGCGATGGAAACAATATGTTTGGGAAGTCAGCATGATGGAGGAATGAAGAAATCAAGAACCCCAGAGTTGTAATTTCTGGGCGCTTTTACATGTGCTCTGGGAGTGGGGGAGCTGCTGTAATTAAAGTGCCACCGTGTCTCATGTATCAGTGTCCCCATGCTTAAAATGGTGGTGAGGGCTTGTTCGAGCTTTACTTCAAGCGCCCCCAGTTCCATTTTGAAGCGCAGAGATCCTGACACACAAGATGCAGGAAGCTGCTGGAGCGTGGCAATTGCCAGTAATAGTCTCTGCTCCAGTGTGCTCCAATTCCAATGTGTTGGAGCAGCCTCGCTGCTTGTGCATCGGCACCCTCTGCTCTTAAACCGAATCACTTCATGGCCGTAGCAAATTACTGCAGCTGCTTGTTTTTTTCCGTATCTGTGTCTGACATTTCCTTATGGATATCTAGGTGTTTGCTAAATCATCATGGCTCAGACAGAGCTCTTAACTTCCTATAAACCACAGCTCTCTCTCCCATTACCTCTTTGCTCAGTCATTGTAGACAGTGTTGTAGAGGACAAACTTTAATTATGCAAATGAGAGTTGTTAATTATTACTCAACTTGCCTCTGTAAGGAATATCTCTCTATCTCTCTATATCTAGATGTATCTAGATACATCTCACAATACTGTTTTGGATTGGAAACACAGCTCAAGAACAAACTTAAATATAAACAAGTAGTTGAAAGAGAAATTACATATGCACAAGAATAACAACAGAACTATGTACACAGAATTAGAAATCAATCACTGGCTTCTCCCTTAAACTTGCAGTGTTGTTGCAGGTAGTACACTGAAGTTGCTTGTCACTGATAGGAATTTATAACAAAATCAGAGCAAGTACTTTTACCGAGACACAGATTCCACTGCCCACTTCCCATTCAGAACTTCTTTCCCTCTCAGAGGCTCAGCTTCTGACCCAGGGAGGGATGATGCTTTATCTTCAGTGGTCAGTAGTGTTGCTTAGGGCTGCTCCTCCAGCCGAACACTAGCTCACTGGGTTGAACCTCAATTTGGCAATCCACACACATGCGGAGGGGATTCAGCCACCCCGGCCCTCACCCTCATACTCGCAGGAGCTAGATACACGCACTATAAACACATACCGAGTACCCTGTACACACTCAGGATTCTTCCTCACACACCAGTCACTCCAAGCAAGTCACAAAGGACAGGACCCAGTCACACACTACAAGGATTCACTCACTTTCCTCACATACGGCCTTTATACTCTTCTACCCCAGACAGCCGTCACTCATTGTCTCAACCAAGCATACCATGGAGTGACCTGCCACTCAATAAGTTCACTTTCCTAGCCAGTCACCATTCACTTCACCTTATGAAGGTGTTGTTCACCTTCCCCGTGACTCACCCTGTTACTGGGTGGTCACTGCGCATACTTGCTACTCTGAAAATAGGTCAGTACCTAATCAAGGTCAAAGGCGAGCTTTTTCTAGAATCCTCTTTATATCACCCCCGCTGGGCATGCACAAAAGATTAAGCAAATACACCAAATCAGGCATGAGCCATTCACGGCTAACAAACATCACCAACCTTTCTGTTACTTGGCCTGTAACTTTGGTGTCCTCTTCAATTTGTACCTCCTCTGGTACTCAAATCCAGGTGAGATCCATGTCTGTCAGCTTCTTTTTGCATTAAACTTTGATGCAGCCTTTCGTATCCATCCATGTTGCTTAAACTCATCAAAACTTTTAGTATCTTACTTGCAGTATCCTTTTCTTTGACTATGATAAATGCAATATTGCTGCCATAATGTCCATCCTCAATACTACTGCAAAGGTCCTGACCTTGAACATGTCCTCCCCCACTGTGCATTTCTCATATGGATTTCTGTTCTCTGTCAGATCAAATGTTGCTTGTTTTCACTTTGAAGGACCTTTACAACATATTTCTTACTCTACTTATGTTTCTTTCCCCATGATGCCAGCATTTCTACTTGTGTTAGATTTTTAAAGGAGGGTCACATCTCTCTTCATCCCTGCTATCTCTCAAATTTGGGAGGAGGTCCCTGTAATATCTGAAAAGCAACAGTATTACAGATGTACAGACTTTAAGAAGCACTAAATATAAGGAAGTGCCTGCTGCTGAGATATAGGCGGTCTTTGTTCAGCATCTGGGATCTTGGGAATGCCCCTTGGAGGCATGCAGATTTCACACTGTCTGGATAGAGTCTGATGCTTAACTTGTGCTTCTTTTGAATCACCCTTCTAGAGCTTGGCACTTAATTTTTAAATCAAGAGATGCCTAAGTTCAAAGCACTAAAGTGCCTCTCAGGATGTTGCACTTGGTCAATTACTCATCTTCCTAACTGTTATAGTAATACAAATGATGTGTAGATAGTAAGACTTATATTAACTTTGAGGTAGGAAAAGAAAGATGGTTTTGTTAATGTTCGTACAGTATGCAATATTTAAGTCTTAAGTGCAGTTAATTGCATTTGATTATGGTAATTAATTTTTAAATTCAGTTTTCTCCAAGCAGTTAAAGCTCACTTGTAGTTGTCTTCCTGCTTCTGAAAATATCCAAGCAACTAAAATTTTCAAACCGTTATAGTTAGTTTATAGTGATCTTATGTCTCTTCTAGTTTTTGTTTATATTGACTTAGTGTCCCTAAAATGTGAAATACTGATGCTGAAAATGAGAATACCAACTTGCACACATGTGAACCAGTATCAAGTAAACTAATACTCTGTAGACTAATACCACGTTTAACCAAATCTAAGACTACTTTGAATTTAAGACAACTCCTAGTAGTTGGGGTTTATATATGGAACATTTATGAATTTGTTACAATTTTCAATGTATAGAATTTAATTATATGGAGTTCATTTTAAATTCATTACCAATACCACTGTGGCAGCAGCAGCAGGGGAGGATAGGCAGCGCAGGGTGGGCAGGCAACCAAGCTGACACCTGCCCTTTGCCCCCCTTGTAACTTTGGTCCTCCCTTGCTGCTTACCGTCATCTTCGGCTCCAGCCCCATTCCAGCCTGAGGCATGGAGCACATGGTAGCTCTGACCTCAGCCCTGCCATGTAGCAGCGGTTGCAGCAATGGCACCGTTGCTGCTGCTGCTGTGTGGCTGGGCTAGGACCAGAGCTACAATGTGCTCCATGCCCCAGGCTGGATTGGGGCCAGAGCTGTGCCTATGGTAAGTAGTGAGAATGGTGCAGAGGCTGCAGGTGGCCGCTGAGGCTCTAACTCTGAACCTGGGTTGGGGCTGGAATTGGAAGCACAATAGCTGCTCCGCTCCCCACCCCCACCTTGTACTTGGATCCCAAGATGAGGGGCTTTTTTCCCCATGTTGAGTGGGATAAAACCCTCATCTTGGATTTGAGTAAATATGATATATGGATACCTCGGTTTGTTTTGATTTAGTGTTGCAGGAAAAGTGCACTAGCTTCTTATTAGACAAAAGCAAAGGTACAGTGTCTGTCCTCAAAGATTTTATGTTATTTCTTACTTTAAAGAGAAAAGAGGTAGAGGAAGAAATGGAAGTGGGGTAAACAAGAAAAACAGGTGATTCAATAATGAAGTTGGAAACAAGTGCTCAAATCCCAGGTGGTGACCAAGACTTCAAGCTTTTTTGCGTTAATATCTCTCATGCAGTTTTTTTCTATCCATCCACACTGCTTAAACTCATTAGGGCTTTTACCTTACTTTCAACATCCTTTTCTTTTGCGATAACAAATGCAGTTTTGCTCTACTAATTTTTCTAACCTTGAACATGTCATCCCCCCATGCATTTCTTCTTTGGCTTCCTGTTTTCTGTCACATCAAACATACACTGCTGGCCTTCATTTTGAAAGGTCTATACAGCATATTTCCTACCCTACTTAGGATATTTTGTTAAGTTCCAGCCGCATCCTGCTCCGTTCTTCTCTCTGCGCAAAGAACTAGAAAGAAGTATAAAATGTATGATCTGATAAAAGATGGCTGTGAACCAGGTTCAGGATACTGGTTCTAGGTACAGAAGCATCATGGAAGGAGGTATGGAGGTAATGAGAGTTAATTGCATGCATGAGTTTAAATGAAAGAGAAGTAAAAGGTTGTATCTAAATCATGCAAGGCTGTGAGGTGAGAACATATGTAAGTCTTGTGTAAATATTGGCACTGAAGACAGTAAAGGGATTAAGAAAGCCAAAACGAAATGCTAGATGAAATTTTAAAGTATTGGGCAAAGAAGATGATTTCCACACTAATATGTTACATATGATATCTACACTTGAAGATTCCTCATTAGAGTAAACTTCTTTAAGCATCTAGAACCCTAATGTAATCTGTAGATTTATATGGGATAGTAAGGTGGGGGGTAGGTGGAAGGTAATTGGATTGCTGATTTGTCTGGAAAATACCATGCAAATATTTTATATTTGAAAGTATTTTTGAAGTGGACAGGAAAGTGAAAATTCAAGGGATTTGGAGTTATTGCTGGAAATAATTTGATGTCTTGGGAATAATAAACCTGGCCCCTAGTTGGTATTTTTTTTTTTTACTTTAAAAATATCCCCTCCCCTATCTATAGGAAAAATGATTTTAGTAATGAAAGGCTGTTTATTGTAGACGATCAAGTGGATATCGTTGGAAATCTGGGCAAGTCGGACCAATGGGCATTCAACCACAAATATTTTTACAAAATAAAGAAAATGGTGTTAAGGTAAGAAACCCCAATACATAAGTAATCCTGTAAAATAAAAGATTTTACAAGACATTTTTGTTGGTTGTCATGTCATAATTAATATTGGCATAAAACAACTGAATTAGTAAAGTGGTTTTAAATATTGTATTATTAAGATAAGAGCACTTTATTTGATAAAGAGCTTTATAGATTACCTTTAAGCTGGGGGAGTACTGAATGTAGAATATTGTTTGATATGATTTATAATTAAAAAGGTTATTTAAAGGGGTAAATGCTATTCCTACAAATACAGTATGGGGAGGGTTTTCTCAGTTCCCACTGAAGTCAGTCAGAGTTTTCCTATTACTTTTGATGATTGCTTGATAAGATGCCAACTACATATCTGTTTTGAAAGTGCAGTCTTCAGTAGGCTACATTGTGCACTCATTTATTTTATTATCTGCTTCATATTATTTCTACTCTGTGTTGATAATATTTAAAGTTTGTCCATGTTCTGTCTAGTAACACAGTGGCTTGCAGCAGCGAGAAGTAGTAATTTCAGGGGAAGACCTTGCTTTAGCCCTGCAGTCCTGAGCTGCAATTTCCTCAATTTTCAAAGTTTCTGTGATTATTTTTTTTTTTTTTTTTTTTTTTAGCTTCAGAGCACTGCTAAGTCTCTGAGCATTTGCAGATCAAGAAATTTGTAAAGGCTCATTGTGGCTACTTACAGACATGGCAAGAGTAAAAATGGTGCTTGACTTAAAGCATGGCACCACCTCACCCCCCCCGCACCAGGCACAGTGCATACCCAGAAGAAGCATTGCGTTAGTTGGACCAAAAAGCTCTGCTGAAGTGCCTGATCTATACAGATGCTGTGGAGCTGTGTTGATCTAATACACTTCCAGTAAAGCACTATTTTTGGTGGTCTTTTTTTCTCTCGCTTCCATGAACGCCCACCTTGACCAGATTTGAATGTATATGTTTTTAAAAAGTACATATTTGACATGCATATGAATTCCCTCCATATTTCAGGTGCTTATTCCAGGGCCTAGAGAAATTGGAGCTTCCACACTAAACTGGTATAAGATTTTTACATAGGGGTAAACCATTTTGTGTGTGTTTCTGCACCCCCACAGCATTCTCCTTTTATAGAAGTGGCAGAATCATTTTTGCTGGAATTTGCAATAAAAAAATTCAGAGGCAATTTGAGAAATTGTATCCCAAATGTTTAACAGATTTATCAGAACTATAAGCAACTGAGAACGTGGCCTTTTTATATTGAGAAGTGCCAGGCAGCTTAACTGTAGGTAGCATTAGCAGTTCCACTTATAACTGTTCTCCTGAGTCTTGCAGTTTTGGGAAAAAAACAGATTTGTGTTTTTGTTAGCTTAAATTTTTGACCTTGAGGCACATACTTTCATTGCACGTGTACCTACATAGTTAAACCATGTTCATGAACGTGTTTTAAAATACAGTTTCTGAGGGCAACAGCATTTTCTTTACTCACACTGTTGAGTAGAATGAACATTTAAAAAAATGCACTACCTACAAGTTACATATAAAGACAGCCTCCCGAATATCTTGAGGCCCACTCTACACATGAAACGAAGGGCAGGATGGGGTCTAAAGCTTGATTCACACAATTGTGCCTTCTGCCACGCCATACATGCAGGGCAAGAGGCATGATGATGTGAATCACACATTACGTTCTATCATGCATTATTGCCAGTGCAGGGAGAGCCTGCAGTGGCAAGTGCCCAGCTGCAGGGGTTCCCCATCCATCTCTGGGGCTGGAGGATCACCACTGCAGCGATCTCCCATCCTGGGGTGCGGGAAACCCATGGAGCCAGAGGATAGTACTTTCCTTGGGCTTGGGGGCTCTGGAAAGCCCCGGATCCAGGGCATCGTGGCTGAAGCAATCCTTAGGGTTCAGAGGTATAGGAAACCCCTGACCCTGGGGTTCAAAGCTTCCAGGATCCCTAGGGCTTGAGGCTTTTACAGTAGGCATGGTGCACCCCTGTAGCTGGGAGCCCTGATACACATGCATATTAAAGCTCAATAGGAACCAGCTGTAAAGTTAGTATACATTTTCATGGTCTAACTTTATATCTGGTTGGAGCTTTTTACTATGTGGCTGGTCTCCAGGTAAATGCACATTTAACCAAGTAATTGAACAGTATCAGTAATGTGTAGAGGGAAGCTTAGCTATACAGATATATGTAGAGATGAATACAACTTGGTTTGAGTGATGCAGGAAAAGAGTTTACCCTATGATTTCTTCAGAGTCCAAGCTTCATATGTCAGGCTGAGATGATGGCTGTTAATTAACAGACACCGTTAGAAACAGGATATAAAGAAATGTATGCAAATTGAGAAGGAGTGCCAGACACAGAACTTTAGAGTAAGCCGTGGCAGTTATTTCAAATCTTTGAAGTAGTAACAGTTTGGCATGAGTGCATTCTCAATTAACATACTCGATTTCAGTGAAATTACCTACTTGCTTGTGAGTAGAAGACAGGCTGAGAATGAAAAGGGGTTCCTCTAATCCCTTCTCCCTCTCTTTATTCTTCCTAACACAAGTTCCTTAGCCCAGGCTGCTGCCACTTCAGGGAGATCAAACAGCAAATTGAATGGCTCTGGTGACACATAGGGCAAACTTTTCAAAGAGGGAAGTGCCAATGTGTACAGGTACAAGGGCTAGAAGGAACCTTGTTGGCCTGAATGCACTGTAGATTCTTTTGTCTTTGGGAGGCAGAATTTGGTTTAAAAATTTTTTAAAGCAATACATTGATACTAGAAATTGGGCTGTAGATACAGTAGAAAGGTGCCAAAGGAGTTATGTGAAGGTCAGGATCAGTGGAGCTCTGCTGAGCAGACCATATCAACTTTTTTTTACATAATGGTGAGGCCATAAGAGAGAGGTAGATTTACAGGCTGTTGTCCAAGTAACAGTTAGGAGGGTCTTTACTGCCTTTGACTTTGAATTACTAGTTAAGTTTGGTTCTGCCTGAGCAATATATTCTCTACTGGCATGTGTAAAGGACTCCAGCCTCAGAATTTAGTATTAGTTTGGCAAAAGAGATGGAATAATGAAGAGATGAACAGTGCCTGGTGGTTTTTGGAAAGAGCAGAATGCCCTTGGATAATATAGACCATGTCTTGTTATGAAACGGAAATGGATTTGTCAAAGAAGGCATGGCTATGATTAACAGTGCTTAGCGCTGTCTTTTGAAAAATACTGACATTTTACTTTAAAATATCATCCAAATAAACACTTTGTTGTAACAATAGCACTTTTTCAATATGCATACTTCAGTGGCTATATTTGGTATTTATAGTTATTGGTAATTCATTTGCTTTTCTTTTTAATATGCATTAATACTTTCACATAGGTTTCTTCAGGAAAAGTGAAGTTGAAAATACTCAGAGAACAGATTCAAGGTAAATTGGTTTTTATATTACCAAGTAAAATAATAAATTGATAACTTGCCATTTTAATTTAATTGAATAGCTAAAAACATACCAGCAAGATACCTTTCATAATGGCAAAGGAAATAAAAAAAGAATGTGGCTGTTGTTCAGGATAACCTGTTAAAAGCTTGACATTTAAACTTTGTCACCTTATTGATTTCCCACTCTCATCCCCATAATTGATGCTTTTATGGTGATCTGTTGCTGTAGTCCTCACACCACTGGACTTCCTGGAAAGATCTTTATTCCCCTCCAAGAACAGCGAAATATTGGAAAAAATTACAGTACTGAATTTTATAAGATGCTCAAAAGGAATGCATGGAACCAAATTATGCAATGCTATCTACCAGAATACATGTATAGCATCTTAAAACTGTCACTCTTATTTATTTGCATAGTATCTTATTTCTTCCAGAGCCAGTGAAACTGCCACTTAAACATAAAATGTCAAATGTTGTGGCTACTGAAAATCCTAAAATGAAGGGGAAGGTATGTGGACAATGTGAGACCAAAAATGCATTATTGGTAAGTAGATGGCAATAAAATAGGTTTGATATTTTAAAAAGTAGCTAAAAGCCTAGGATTGGGTTTATGTAAAATAATCCCCTTATCTAGAATTTCTGCAAATATTTTATTTAATAAACTACAGTAAAGTATATTAGATAATACTTGTGTGGATTACTATTGGGCAAAGTCTATCTACTCTTTCTAAGAAAAAAATGCCATTGAATTGTAGCCTACTGTTTGCTTTCTGTCATTTAAGTGCATAGCCATAGAATTGGAAAAAATTATGGGGTTATGATTAAGAGACAGGCAGGAAATGCAGCCACATGCCTGCAGTGGCTCAAGGTAGAAGATGCCTGTATTATACCCCCCTCCTACCCCTCTGCCTCAGCATGCCGGCCCAGGGCTGGCATCTGGTCATGCCCCCTGCCCTGTCCACTCCCCTGCTGCATAGAGTAGCAAGTGGGGGAAAAGCCTGACTGGGGCTGGTGTGCCCCTGTGTGGGTTGGGGGGAGGGGGTTTAAATCCTGCTCCCTTCCTTCCACCTTAGCGTGCTGGCTGCTGGAGCGGTGAGCAGAGGAAAGCCAGGCAGGGGCTGCTTCCCCCCTACCCCTCCAGGCACACCCTGGCTGGGGACTGTGCAGGCCATGGTGGGGATGTAACCTCTCCCTGCCCACCCATTGTATTTAGTGGGCCTGCCAGGGCCTGGCCATGCCCCCCATCCCCTTAGCTCAAGCAGGGAGGGGGAAAGAGCTTGGAGGGCTTCTCTCCCAGCTTTGCTCCAGCCTTCCGGCTACTGCCGAAGGGAAAGGAGGGCTTGCTCTAGTGCCCCCCAGCCTCTAGCCTGAGCCACTGCAGGCAAATGGCTGCATTTGTGGAATCAAAAGTGAATGTCTGTTCACTTGCTTCTAGGTCCAATCTACGAAGTTCAGACTAACCTGCAAAGATTGAATTGATTCAGGCTTGGGCTTTTGAAATGTCTGTACTTAGCCTAGGTGATTTAAATCTCCACATGCACCAGAACCACTGGAAGATCATTACTTCTAAGGCTGGTTTCCTGCCTGTCTCTTAATCCAATTGAAGAGTTATAGTACTTTTTAAATGGCTTGTTTCAGAGCTCATTGTGGCAGCATATGCTTTCCCCATAGTACAGAACTATTTTGCCTCACCCAGGTAAAGGAAGTTCTTAGGGGCTGATTCTTCCTTCCCTCCCTCCCTTTCTCAATGAAAAGGCAAATAACCAAAGTCAGGCTTTGCTTATCTCTTAGAAGACGAAATTTGTCTTATGAGCTGACTGCTGAATTGCCCTACCACCTAATTTCTCAGCTAACTGAAAGCTAACACTATTGATGAAAACAATTTTTTTCACCAAAGCTGTAAAAATAGTTTGTAAGTATTGATCCAAGTAATGATAACGAAAACTATTCAAGCATTAACTTACATGCAAATTTAAGAAATGGAGCAGAGGCTAATGTCCTGTGCACTGGGTCAGAACTTAATACTTCCATACATGTGAATTAAAGGATTTAATTCTTGATAGAAATAATACACTTGTCTTGTGGATTGTCTCAACATTTTAGAATATATAAACAGAAAATATTAGGTCCCTTTTAAATTCCTAAAATTTTTAAGGAGCTATTCAGATTCCTTAGTATTGTGTGTCTGATAGAGGTACACGATACATTGGTCCATATCATATTGGCACCGATAAAAGAAAAAAGATCATTATCAGCATTCAGCTTTTTTTGGGTGATGTCGCCGATAAATGTCGCACGCATGTCAAATTCGGCATGTGTGCAGCTGCAGCATGTGTGTGGCCAGGAGTGCAGCCTGGCAGTCAGTGTCCAGCTGGTAAGTCTGTTGAGGGGAAGGGGCGTGGGGGAGGGAAGCGGGGGCAGATCGCAGCCCCTGTGCTGAGGGAGGGCGTGGGGCTGGGGCAGAGGCAGGGACATGTGCTGCCCAACCAGGGTGGGGTGGGGCACGTGATGGAGCCGACGGCTTGTCCATGGGGGCGAGGAGGCTGAGACAGCTCCCACCGCTGTGCACACCTCTGGGGAGGTGTGGGGGGCATGTGCCTCCTGGATCTGTGCATGGGGTGAGGGTGGGCTGCCTGCCAAACGCTTGAGACTGGGGCTGCTCCAGCTTCTTCTCAGAATCTGTGCTTGGGCAGGGCAGGATGGGTGGCGGCAGTACTAGGTGGAGGGTTAAGGGGGGGTCTAGAACCACCCCAAAACTCACCATAGGACCCTCCTCCCAGCTCCACTGCTGCTGCCTGCTCCTCCTGGCCCGATTGCAGCCACTGGGAAGAGACTAGAGCAGCCCTGTTTCTGAGTATACATCCTTGCTCCACGCACAGATCCAGGGGACACGTGCCCCCCATACTTCCCCTGGGGGTACATACAGCGGTGGAAGCTGCAGCCCCCGGATGAGCCACTGGCTCTGTCCTGCACCCCGCCCCACCCTGGCTGAGCAGTGCCTGCCTGAGCCCAAGCCTCACTCCCTCCCTCACCGTGGGGACCTTTATCTGCCCCCCTGTTCCCCTTCCCCCCCACAGCCTTACCAGCCAGACACTGCTGTCCAAGCTGCTGGGCTGCATATCTGCAGTTGCATTGGTATCAGCTGGTATGGCTGGTCAGTAATCAGTCATCAGTGTTGGCCCAGCAAATCTTTATTGGTGCCCCCCAGTGTGTGATTATACTACTAAAAATTATTGTGCATTGTATTTGCATAGTATAATAGAAAATAATAGAAAATCATAAGCATATACTTTTGTCCTTTATTTTAAATGCATATAATCAGGTAGAACTGTGCTATTTATATGGCAAATTCAAAATAATAAACAGTGTTGGAAGCATGCACACAAAAATTGAAGAAATATTTTATTTTTTTTCCTTTTCCCCTCTTGCTACTGTTGTCCTTCGATGGAACTGTAAAAAATCCCAGGTTATCCTCTAGCATCACCGTTGCTTGCAGTTTACTTAGTTATCAATTTTTAGTTCATTTGTTCTCATTTATTGTTGGCAGGTGAATTTTTTTAATGCTCATTTTAAGTAAGAGACTGATAATGCGGGTTGTAGCTTGGTATACTGTGGACAGATTATTTGTGAGCCGTTCTACATGGTAAGAGTGCAATATGAGCATTGGTTTTTGTTATGGGCTTTGTCAAGCAGAGATTATTTGTAATGTGTAGTGATATTTCTTGACTCGGGTAAGTGTCTCATTATGACTAAGATGCTATTGCTAAAATTTTATGAGGTATGTAAAAATTAATTATTTAATACTACTGCAGATCCCTGCAGAGCTCTCATTTTATTTCTTCAGCTTCTATTTGTAAAGATCTTGGAAAAAATGAGCAAGAAAAACAAAACCCGGTAATAATTCTAAAACCATTTACTGTTGTTGTTTGGTTTGGTTTTTTTTCCCCCAAGGTATGCTTAGAGTGTGGGGAAGATTATTGTGGAAGCTGCTTTGCTAAAATCCACCAGAAGGGGGCACTGAAGCTCCACAGAATGATTCCTTTACAGGTAAAAGTTTTTTTGGGTTTTTTTAGCTGTATGAGACTGTTTCTCTCTAAACAGTTCATTAATTCAAATTAATAATTCCTTTAAATGTCTTTATTCACTACAAACCTTTTCTTTTTGTTACACAAGGTGTATATTTCTGGATTTATTTATAACCAAAATATTCATTGTTACATTTTGTAATATACTTTTTGCAGTTTCATTAATTGTTAGGATAGAAATGTTTTTATATCAGAAGGTCATAAACCAGCATTTTTAATATAACGCAATTTGTTGTCCTGTGGGGTCAGGCCAACTCTCAGGATCTCAATATTGCGGTGTTAGACAGGAGGGTGTGACAGAATTGTACATATACAAACACACAAATCAATTAGGTGCATAAACACACACTACCAGCTCAGGCACATACATATCCAAACAAGCCTAGGCACATGCATACCTATCACTAATTCAAGCACATGCACTATACACCCCAAAAGTTAGACACATCACTAATTCATATATCATGCACACAATGACGTGTGTGCATTGCATGCAGTTCACATGCATACAACCCACCTACACATACACACAGGTAAGTTCCTAACTTGGATGGTACAGTGTGTATGTGTGCGCTTGGGGTACCTGGGATACTTGAGGGAAGGTTCAGGTGAGAGAGAGAGAGAGAAAGTGTAGGGAGTGAAAGCTGCCAGAACTGGGATTAGAACTGGTAGACTATAGAGAAGCTGGCTGAGGAACTGAGGCTTGGGTTTACTTAAGGTAGATTGGGGCTGGAAACTGAGGCAGACAGCTGAGATACTGGGGGAGGGGCAGATAAGTGGTGGCAAGGAGGAGACAGCCAGGAAAGAAACAGGCAGAAACCTGGTTGCTCAGGCAAAAGGGAAAAGGCAGAGGTAATAAGACAGTGGCAAAGAAACAGGGGGTTTGGAGGCAGAGAGGAGCTCAGGACAGGTGTTGGAGGTGGCAGTGAGCCAGAAGCAGGAGAGGGAGAAATGAGACAGGAGGTAGAGGCAAGGAGCAGAGATTGGAGCAGGGCCAAACCATAGTAAAGCAAAACCCAACTTAAGGGTCAAAATAACAGTTTTATTAAACAGACAACACACTCCACAGCCCCATGAACTTATTGGTTTACTCACAGTCACACATACTGGCAGTAGGAGAAAGAGACTCGGTGAAGGGTTGGAGTCCAGGCGGGGAAAAGAAGCAGAGTCCAAGTCCTTGGTGCAGGTAATATCTACCTATCCAGGCTGGAAAGGAGTCCTTGTCCAGTAGATGTTGTCTAGAGCAGGGTCGCCGGCACGGCCTCTGGGTGGATAGGTGGTGTGGCATGGTGCTGGTCCAGATGAAGAGGGTGGCCCACTGGGTCTGTCTTCACTGCCCCTTTTTATTGGGGCAGACCTTGTGTGACCCTAGTGACAGGAGGGATGCCCAGGCCAGGGTCAGCCCCTGGTGTACTGAGCATGTGTGCTCCATGCTGGGATGTGCAGTTTCGGGTGTCTGTAATGGTGGGGTACAATGGTAGAGTTGCTGGTTCTGCAGGGTCTTTTGTCTTTCAAATGCTGGGTTCTTGTCTCTGTTCCTGGGTGAGGTCCGTGGTTCCTGGATGAATCAATGAGAGGTGATGGCCTGGTTGTTACAGGCCATTCAGTAAAGGCCTGCTACCATTGTATTTCAGTAATTCCCAATCACTCTCATTCATCTGGGAACCAGTTTACATGGGAGGGGTACATGAATCATACAGTTGCAACACAGGGGATGTCCACGTAGAGGACACAAGATGGAGGCTTGACATACAAAATGGAAACTTAACATGACTTACACTAACTTACATATATAGGCCTAAAACAGTAATCACACAATATAAAAGCAGTACAAACATAATAATTATCACTTATAAAACAGTGGGTATCGATCATTTATAAAACTTATTTGCAAAGAGGGGAGATATCAAAATAGCAGGGAGCTTATTTGCAAAGAGGGGAGAGAAAAATAAAACTTACTACCTAAAATAAAATGTTAAAGCTTATCCTACATCTTAGCTTACTTATACTTATCTATAGGGAATAGAGAGGGAGAGAAAAAGTTAGAAATGGTTGGGGAAGGGGAAGAAATGCATTTTAAAATAAATAAAAAAGAAAAACTGGGGGTTTTGCTACAAATTCTAAATTATGTAAAACAGCATTAAGTTTCACACTTCCGAACACTAATACATGTCAGTAGTGTTTGTAGATTGTGACTAAATAGGAGAGTTAGAAGGCAATGGTTTAAAATTTGATGGGTTAAAAATGAGCTAAGATGTGCAACATATAAACATGGAGGGGGTTTTTTTTCGTAATAGTTGGGTTACATGTGAGAGAGGTTTATTCTTTTTAACTGAATTAGGAATAGTTAAGCTTCTTTTGATTAAAATCTGCCTTTAGTGTTTTTATACAGAAGCCTTCTGTTTGAAGGAAGCAGACACAATGATCCTACTCTGCTGTTGAAAAAAAATATGTACTGTTCTTACCTTATGCACTGATGGGTTTTGAAGTCTTTTGATTTCTCATGTGAAACATATGACTTAAACTGAAATAGCTGTAGTGCCATAGGTTTTAAAAAGTGGCTGGCAGGTTGCTGATTAAGAAGACTTTGCATACATAAGTTTCCAAATATATATATTTTTTTAATCCTGCATTATGTGTAATTGTCATTCAAGTTGGTTTCAAGCAATTTTCATTCACATATTCAGATAAATTTTGAATAAGCACAAAAAACGGTTAATTAATCTTTATGCCTTAAGAGCAGTCAAATACAATGGTGAATGCTTGCTAGGATAATTAACACTGTTCTGTTTTCCTGTTTTATATATATTAATTGTAAAAGGGGTTGCAGCTATGGAAATAGTTACAAATAGCATTTGTCTGCCAAATGAACGGTTGCTCTGGTGAAGATGATTGTGGCATAACTGGATAACTTAAAAAAAAATAATGATCATGGTATCTAATGGATACAAAATTCTAGCTAATACAGAATTCATTGTTGTTTAGACCTGAATTGTCTTTGCTATTGCACTAGCACTGGTGTGTTAAACATTTAACATAACTTTACTTGCGCATTGTCACCAAAGAAATCATGATAAAATTTAAGTGGCCAGTATAGTGAAGATCCCTGAGTACAGCTATTATAGCATGCTGACTTACAACTTATTTATCTCATTTGAATAAATTGGTCTTAAAATTAAGTTTTTATATGCAAGGTACTTTTCATTTGAATTCTAAATCACTATTTTTTAAATTAAATATACCAACCAGAATTTGTTTTTTTTTTCTTAAATGCAGCCGTGGTTTTATACTGGTTAACTTGTTCAGATTATATATACTTATCCCAGTTTTAATTTTGTTTCCTTTTTTATATTAATTATGGCTATACTGTTCTTATGTCCTGATTTAATGAATCAAAGACGAAGCATATCAGGAATTCTATAAATGGTTAGGTTTTTTCAATGGTTGAACAGAAGCAAAATCACTGTGAAATAAAAATGTAAACACATGCATGCAAGTGCACGCACACACGCACATATGCATGTCTTGACTAAATATTAGAAAGTTTAAATGGAAATTTGGGTGTGTCCTTTGTCACTGTCTTACTGGACTTTCTCTGTCTCAAATTTATTTGCTTATCTCATTCTTTCTTCCCAGAAAAATATAAGCTTTTCAGTAATGCTGTAAATTATCAAAGCTGTTGCTCTGATTAATGTATTCTTGTCAGAATGATGAATGCTTGGAACAGTTGTAGTGTGTTGCTGAAAGATGACATCATTTGAGGAAAAAGGTTCAGGTGAGAATTTAAGATGGTTACAGGATTTCCTGACACGGCACACTGAGAGATGGTAAACAGAAGTCAAGAAAAGCAGGTAGTAAATCATAGTCTTAGGATCATTTACTATGCTGCATTACACTACAAGATATATAACATATTCTGTGATCTGTTTGGGTTGGATTTAATATATTTTCACCATGTTGAACAGTGATTTATGGTGCCTGTCAGTTCTGCCTGAACTTGTTCATATAGAGCATAAGAATGGACAATAGGTAGAAAAGATGATAATTCTTAGCACTTTTTGGTCTTTCAGTCTTAAATCCCAAGATGCTTTATGAAGGTGTAGTAATTTGTTTGATCTCATTTTTACTTATATTGGGAAGCTGATACGCACAATAGTCAGAGGTCATTTAGTGGGTCAGTAGCAGACCCAGGGATGTAAGCCAGAGGTGACATTCTGTACTCTTTTGAAGTGAGTGGGAATTTGGCTATTGACCTTACTGGGTGGCAGATTTTTCCCCAGGTCAATTCTGCAGCCGCCCCCACCCAGTTTTTGTTTTTGTTTTTTTGTTTTTTGACACACTACTGTTACAGATTACCTGTACACTATCTATAGGAAGTTGCCACTGGAAACTTATAACTGAAATGACTTGCTGGAGTTGTGAAGGAGGATCAAAGTTCAAGGTATATGAAAGGAAGTCCTAAGCAGTTTGGTTAGTTTTAGTAGTTTGAAGTATTAATTTTGCCCAAGGCCCCAGATTCCATAGGTGAGGTGAAGGATGCTTCCATCCTAACCATTCTGTGGTCTGGTTGTTAGAGTATACTCTTGAGACATGGAAGAACCTCTTTGGACTGAGGCCTGTAATTTAGGCTTTCCAGTTTTTGGATAAAGCATTTAACCACTGTGCTATTGTAGTATCTTCGCCTCTCTGATCTCTAAAAAAAATAATGATCCCTACTCAGGCAAACACCTCCCTCAGAGGAAGACTCCAGCCTCTGGTTCTCAAGTAGATGGAAGCATTTAGGGTATATTTAGAGGTGCTCCAGTGGTGGGGGTGCTTTAATTAGAGTGGCTCTCGGGAGCTGGTCTAATTAAAGCACCAACAGTGTCAAGTATATTCAGCATCCTACACTTCAAAATGGCGGTGGGGGTGCTTTAATTAAAACTCATTACATGAGCTTTATTTAACAGGTGCCACCATTTT